GCTGCGTCCACCAGAACTTCCTGTTGACATGCTGGGGGCACCGCTGGGTGTCCCCAGCCCGTGCCCTGGTTCCCCCTGCTCTGGGGGATGTGCTTCTTGGGGCAGTGCCTGTCCCACAAGGGCCAAAGAGGGGAGGGGCAGAGAAGGGCCAAGGGCTCGGCGCTGTTTGTGAGCTGGGAGAGCCCCGAGCAAAGGGCTGCTGGCAGGTGCTGTGCCCCACGCGCCCTCAGCACCCGTCTCTCCTGGCGGCAGAGCACCGGCTGCGGTTCCAGGTGCAGCTGGCAGATGTGGAGGTGGCAGAGCGGGAGGACGCTGTGCTGGAGTGCCAGGTGCCGCTGGAGACCATCCCCACCTCCTGGTACCTGGAGGACAGGGAGCTGCAGCCCAGCCACAAGTATGTGATGGAGGAGCGAGGCGTGCTGCGGCGCCTGACCATCCGCGACGCCCGCACTGATGATGACGGCATCTACCTCTGCCAGATGAAGGACAAGGGGCGCAGCATTGCCGAGGTCTCCGTCCGAGGTGGGGGGCAGGTCTCCAGTGGCATGGTTTTGCCTTCCTATCCCCCTCCTTGCCAGGCTCCCCACTGCCCCCTGCATCTACCTTCCCAGTGTTTGGCTGTGGCGCCTGCTCCTGCTGCCCTTTCTCGACCTCCTCCTCCTCCTCTCTCTCACACCAGGGAGCCCAGCTGACTCCCCAGCATCCCTCCCCAGCCCTCACACATCTCTTCTTGTAGGGGTGATCACAAAGCGGCTGCCGCGGAAGCTGGACGTGATGGAGGGGGAGAACGCGGTTTTCTGCGTGGAGACGCAGGAGGCGTTGGAGGGGATCTGCTGGAGCCGGGACGGGCTGCAGCTGCGGGAGTCACCCCGCACCGTGCTGAAGAGCTTCGGCAGGACACACCTCCTGGTGCTGGTGCACGTCACCCGCCAGGACGCGGGCATCATCTCCTTCGCCATCGGGGAGTCGCAAACGTCCTCCCAGCTCCGGGTCAAGTGTAAGCCCCAGGCTCAGAGGGGCCCCGCGTCCTCAGTCCTGCCCATTCACAGGGGGCTGACATGGGGGAGAGATGGGATGGGCACCCACTACACTGGGGACATGATGCTGCGATGGCTTTTTGGGGAAGGGGGCTTTTAGCAGGGCTCCAGGGCCCCAGCCTCTCTGACAGTCACAGAGCAGCACCATACTACACGGGAGCAAAACCATCCTCTCCATCCTCTCCATCAGAGAGAGGATCCCCAGAGAAGCAGGCTGTGTAGCCCCCCTCAGCCCTTCTGCCGCCCCACTGGGAGCCTCACTGCCGTCCCCAAGCAGGCAACACGGGCTGTGGCTTGCAGGTGTGAAGCGTGACCCCCCGAGCGCGCCGGTGGCAGCCGAGATGAGCGTGGCAGAAAGTAACACGGCCCTGCTGATGTGGTGCCCTGCGCCCGACGCCCACCTCCGCCCCCCCAGCCGCTACCTGCTGGAGCGGCGGGGGGGGGGGGGGGGGGGGGCGGGGGGGGGGTGGGTGCAGTGCCTCGCCACCGACCTGCCTGGCCACGTGCGGGTGCTGGGCGACAGCGTGCCCTGCGAAGCCGACTACTGCTTCCGTGTCTGCGCCGCCAACGAGCACGGCCAGAGCTCCCCCGTGGAGTTCCCCGGCTCCGTGCATCTCGGTGAGGGTGCTGAGCTGGCGTCCCATCCCCCCCCAGGACCCAGCTCTCCCCAGGGGCCATGCGGGATGTCGTGCCATGGCACACTGCTGGCCGGTGCCACCATGGCTGAGTCTGGCCATGCTCCAGCCCCGGCAGCTCGCGTGGAGAGGGGTCTGCAGGATGTGTGGGTGCGGGATGGCGAGGACGCCCGGTTCTCCCTGGAGCTGTCGGCCACGGTGCATGGCACCTGGTTCCTCGATGGTGCCAGGCTAGGCGAGGAGGAGGAGGAGGAGGCGGGCGGCCAGTGCAGCGTGCGGCGCCACGGGATGGAGCACTTACTACTGATCGAGGGAGTGCGGCTGGCCGACAGCGGGGCCCAGGTCACCTTCGTGTCCGGCAGTGTGCGGGACTCGGCCACGCTGCATGTGCAAGGTGAGCGGGGCGCTTGCCCTGGGGTCCTGCCGGGAGAAGAGCAGCAGGGGCTCTCATGCTGGAGGATGCTTCTTAACAATCATCTACAATGTCTTTCTCAGCCCCACAGGTCCGCATCAGCCCGGTGCCTGGGGCCGAGCGGCTCCAGGAGGTGCCATCGGGGCTGCCCGTGCTGCTGGAGTGCCAGGTGTCCCCCCCGGGTGCCCCCGTCCGCTGGCTGAAGGACGGTGAGGCTGTACCCCTGGACGACGTTATCGCGGTGCAGGCAGAGGGCTGCGTGCGGAGGCTGCTCCTGCGCTCGGCAGGTCCCTCGGACACCGGCACGTACACCTGTGACGCCGGGGAAGATGCCGTGAGCTTTGTGGTGACCGTGACCGGTGAGCTGAGGACTGCGTGCAGGAGCCTGGACCCCGGCTCCTGACAGTGCTCCTGCCCCTCTTCTTGCCCCCATGATGGGGCTGAAAGCTGCTGTCAGACGGGTGCCTGTGCTGAGCCCTACATTATCCCCGGCAGAGGCACCGGTGAGGATCGTCAGCTCCAACGAGGAGGCCCCCCACGCCTACGTGGCCGGGCAGCGCGTGGAGCTGTGGTGCCAGCTGTCCCGCCCGGCGGCCCCCGTGCGCTGGTACAAGGACGGGGAGGAGGTGGAGGCAGGCGAGAGCCTGGTGCTGGAGCAGGAGGGGCCGCGGCACCGGCTGGTGCTGCCCTGTGCCCAGCCACAGGACACGGGGGAGTTCGTCTGTGACGCCGGCGGAGACTCTGTCTTCTACACCGTCACTGTGGCAGGTGAGGGGAGTTTGTCTGTGACGCTGGCGGGGACTCTGTCTTCTACACCGTCACTGTGGCAGGTGGGTGCGATGCAGACAGGCTGGTGAGGTCACATCCTGGGGGTTTTCTTTGGTGGTGCAGGGTGCCACAGCATGTGCCGCTGTTGGTGTCACTGTCACTTGCTACTCTGGGCTTGGGGATGCTCATCGGGGATGCTCATCAGAGATGCTCTTGCTGGGTCCTCTCCAGGAGGTCGGGCAGGCGGGGTCTTTGCGGCAGCTCTGGTCTGTAAAACCACCCAGACTGACTGGCAAAGGGGACAGCTCGCTGTGCTGGTCTGAAATGCTGGGGCGCCCAAGGGCTGTCACCCAGCACCTCCACGCTGGGGTGTTTGCTGGACCTCTCCCATGGCCAGTAAACAAGCCCTCCTCTGAGTTCCTAAAAATAGTGGGTATGAGCGCCCGGCACCTGGCGTGGGGTGACTCGCGGTCGGACATCGCTCTGATGGACGGTGTTAATTGCTGACCTGAAAATTAGCAGTTGCCTGGATACTGACAATTGGGTGGTGGTTGCTGGGTGCGAGCGGGGGCCGGTGTCCTGCAGCGGCTGCCCCGGCCATGGAGTGGCTGCTGGCGTCGCGGGCTGGCAGAGGATAATGAAAACTGAAAGCAAGTGAAAGACTTCCCCTTGCTGGCCCCGAAACACAATCCTGCAACCACAGGAAGGTGACTGGGGGCAGAGCTAAAGCCCAGTTAAAAGGCTCCGTGACCGCAGCAGTAAAACCTCTCCATGGTGTTAATAGGTGGCAAAGTGCCGAAGTTGATGGCAGAGGATGTAGGAGTGAAGATGGGATGAGTGATGAGAGATCCTGGAAGAGCCAGTGAAGTGGTGACTGCCGGGAGGGTGAAGAAGGGAGGATTTTAGTGTGACAAAGGCAAAATCGCCAGCGGGAAGGACAGGCAGTGTGTGCTCTGGGCAGAGGCAGGAGGCATCGTCTGCCCCGCGGGGGTGCGGGGCATGGAGAGCTCGGCTTCCCTGGGGTGGGAGGTGGAAACACCATCTGCTGAAGCTCAGCCTTTCAGCTGAGCGGCTTTGCATAACTTAGATGGAAGGGTCTTAGAGAGGCTAGCTCGGTTCAATCAGGATTCAGCCATCGCTGTCACCGGTGGGTCTCAACTGCAGGTGCCAGGAGGCTCAGGCTGGCACCCCTCTGGCACAAGTGCCAGGCTGGCTGCTGCAAGCAGCGCTGCCGCTGCCATGGCACGCTTGGGTTTCCCTGAGGCATCCCAGCTATCCCTCAGGGGCTGCTGTGGCACAGAGCCCGCCTGCCTCAAGCCCGGCCACCCCCGCACACCTCTGGGTTTTCCAGCAGCTGCTGAGTACCAGGGCTCCCTCGGAGCCAGCAGCAGGGCAGGGGCCTGAGCAGTGCTGCCCACCGAAGGCTGGCACATCGCCCTCTCCTTGCTTTAGTGCTGTTCAACATCTCCAGCTGCACTTCAGTGACATGATTGCTTTTAGCAGGTCTAAGGAGACAGGCAGCCACCGAGCATTTAATCAGGGAGCCGGGCGGATGCAGGCTCAGCGTGGTGCAGGTTGAATGCTGCAAACTGGCGCCGCACCGCTCCCATGCACTGCGGGGCTGCGGTGTGCTGCTGAGCCTGGGCATCGTGGCTGGAAACTGCCTGGGAAGTTTGCAGCCCGGACGCCCAGCACGGGGCAGCTGCGGGCCGTGAGAAGGGCAGGTCGCTGCTCAGCCACCAGCGTGCTCTCGTGCTGGCTATACCCCGTGCCCACCCAGAGCCATGGGCTGGCTGAGCACCATGGCACAGTCTGGGCTACAGCCTGCTGCAATGCGTGTGGCTGGGAGGTGGCATGGGATGCTGCAGGCAGGGGCCACATCCTGACCTTCCGGGAGAGAGGGGGGCTGGTCACTTCATGCTTGTACTGGGAGCCCCTCTGGCTTTAGAGGCCCCACTCAAGTCAGCAGGGAGATGTGAGCAGTGGCACACGTTTCATGTGTAATCCATTAATGGTGGCGTTCAGCAAGCACTGCCATCTGGCATGATGTCCTGGGTCGCGGTGAGCAGGAGGGATGGGGACACTGGCCACAAGCGAGCCACACACCTGTGCCACAGTATCAGCAAATGTCAAGGGCTGAGCCGAGACAGAAGCACCGGGGGGGACCCAGTGGCCTCCAGTGGCCCCAGTGGCCCCAAGTGGCCACTTGTGCTGTGCAGGATGTGGGTGAGGTGGTACCTTCCAGCCTTAAACCCAACGAGCTTGTGAAGCCATTGCTCCACACAGGGCTGTGACTGCCACCATCACCCGCTCTGGTCTTTACATCCTGGCTGAGCCCCATGTCTCTCCCTGGCAGAGGCACCGGTGAGGATCGTCAGCTCCAACGAGGAGGCCCCCCACGCCTACGTGGCCGGGCAGCGCGTGGAGCTGTGGTGCCAGCTGTCCCGCCCGGCGGCCCCCGTGCGCTGGTACAAGGATGGGGAGGAGGTGGAGGCAGGCGAGAGCCTGGTGCTGGAGCAGGAGGGGCCGCGGGACCGGCCGGGGGGGGCGGGGACTCTGTCTTCTACACCGTCACTGTGGCAGGTGGGTGCGATGCACAGCTACGGCCCTCTCCCCCTCTCCCTCTGCCCTGGCTCCCTGCTCATGCTGCCGTCCCACCGGTGGCTGCAGCATCTCGGCTGCTCCTCGGCTCCTTGTGAGCTGCTCCTTGCCCGTGCCCCCGGGCCAGAGGGGGATGCAGGCAGGGGCAGGTCAGCTGCTCCATCTCCTCCCAGAGCCCTCTGCACCCCAGGGCACAGCCATGCTGCCTGCCCATGGGTTACGCCACCACACACCCCAGCCCTGGTGCTTCCTCGGCTTTCCACTGCCAGTGCCGAAGGGCTGGGACAACCCTGGCCGCTGGCCCCAGGGCAGATATGATGGAGGCGAAGTGACACAAGGTCTTGGTCCTCTCAGCCCCGCAGGTCCACATCACCCCGGTGCCCGAGGCACAGCAGCTCTGGGAGGTGCTGGCAGGGCTGCCTGTGCTGCTGGAGTGCCAGGTGTCCCCTCCGGATGCCCCCATCCACTGGCTGAAGGATGGCGAGGCTGTGGTCCCAACCAAGGTCCTGGCTATCTGCTCAGAGGGATGCTCACGGAGGCTGCACATCCCCACAGCTGTGCCGTCTGACTCGGGGATGTACACCTGCGATGCCGGGAACGATGCCGCCAACTTCAGGGTGACCGTGATCGGTGAGATGCCCAGCGGGTGCCCGTCCTCCTGCGGGGCTTTCCTGCCACCACAGCTGAGTCCCCCCATGTGTCCCCCGGTAGACACGCCGGTGAGGATCATCAGCTCCAACAAGGAGGGCCCCCACGCCTACGTGGCCGGGCAGCGCGTGGAGCTGTGGTGCCAGCTGTCCCGCCCGGCAGCCCCCGTGCACTGGTACAAGGACAGGGAGGAGGTGGAGGCGGGCAAGAGCCTGGTGCTGGAGCAGGAAGGGCTGCGGTGCCAGCTGGTGCTGCCCTGCGCCCGGCCACAGGACACGGGGGAGTTCATCTGCAATGCCGGGGATGCGTCTGTCTCCTACCACGTCTTGGTGGCAGGTTGGTGGCACAACAGGGATGTCCTGGGAAGGACAGCACTGCCCCGGCTCTGTGCCATGGGGTCCCCAGTGCTGCTGCCTGCCCTGAGCATCGCAGAGGAGGTGATGCGGCTGCATCACCCAGGGGCTGGTGGCTGCCCCCCTCCAGCGGTGCTGGCCTGGCACCGTGTGCCTGCCGCCCTGCCCCTGAGCAGGTCCTGCCCCTTTGCACTGGGGCGAGAGGCTGTAGCACCTGCACAGCCCCACGGGGGCAGGGATGCAGGTATGAGTAAGCAGGGACAGCAGAGCCAGGAGCGGTGCAGAGGGCAGGTCTCACACCCTGCCTCCGTGTCCTTGGCAGAGCCAGCAGTGAGGATCCTGCACCCACCACAGCGTTCACTGGAGCTGCTGGTGCAGGCGCCGGAGCGCGTGGAGCTGCGGTGCGAGATCTCTGTGCCAGATGCTCCCGTGCGCTGGTTCAAGGATGGGTTGGAGGTGGATGAGACTGACAACCTGCTGCTGCTGGCGGAGGGGGCTTGGCGCTGCCTCCTCATCCCCAGGAGCAGCGCGGAAGACGTGGGCGAGTACATTTGCGAGAGCAAGGATGAGGCCGTCTCCTTCGATGTCAAGGTGTCAGGTCAGTGGGGACCTGCAAGCAGGGAGGTGCTGATGGGACTCCGGCTGTGGGGTCTTTCCCAGTCTGGGCAAGGGGCAGCAGCTCCTTTGTATTGATGGAGCCAGTGGGCACCCACCCCCCGGGTGCTGGGCCACCCAGTGTGAGTGCATGCCTGGGGCTGGCAGAAGAGGCATCCCCGGGGCCGCGTTGTGCCTGTGCTGCTTTGCATCATGGCCACGCCATCCTTGCAGAGCCGCCAGTGAGGATTCTGCAGCCCTGCAGACCTTTGCCTGTCGTGACGGTGTCCCCGGGGGAGACGGTGACGCTGGGCTGTGAGCTGTCCCGCGCAGATGCACCTGTGCGCTGGGCCAAGGAGGGCGTCAGGCTGGAGGCTGGGGGCAGCCTGGTCCTGGAGGAGGAGGGTGCCCACCGCCGCCTGCTCATCCCCGCGGCCCGAGCCGAGCACTCTGGAAAATACGTCTGCGACACCGCCGATGACACAGTGACCTTCACCGTCCAAGTGTTGGGTGAGCAAGAGGCTGGGAGAGAGCCTGGTAGGGGGTGCTGGGTGCACGGACCCCAGAGACCCCAGCTCTGTTGGTGTTGGGTGCTGCAGACCCACTGGTCAGGATCCTGGAGAGGGACGTCCTGCCGACCCGCCGGCACTGCCGGGCCATGGAGGACCTGGTGCTGGAGGTGCACCTCTCACATGCCCACGGGGAGGTGAAGTGGTACAAGGATGGGGAGAAGTTGCAGGACACAGGGCGCGTGCGGCTGGAGGAGGATGGGGCACGCCGCTCCCTCGTTGTCCTGGGTGCCACAGGCAGGGATGCGGGGGAGTATCTCTGCGACACTGGCGACGACAGCATCGTCTTCTTCGTCACCGTGGAAGGTGAGCAGGAGGTCCCGGGGGGGACAGCTGGCAGGGTGAGGACCAAGGTGGGTCCCTGGCTGCTGCAGGGCTGTGGGGCTGAGCTGGGTGGCAGCGAGCATGGGGAGGCTGGGGTGGGGGACACAGGGAGCGGGCTGCACCCATGTGGGGGCTCTGTGGAAACCCCTGCGCTGCCCAGCTGCGCCAGAGGAGGTCCAGACAGGATCTGGCCATTGCAGCACCCGGCACAGGCTGCTGCTCCTATGGTGACAGCCCATCTCTCCAGTCCCAGAGCCACCAGTGACCATTGTGGGCAGCACGGGCGCCATGGAGCATCACTGCCTGGTGGCCGGGGAGGACCTGGTGCTGGCTTGTGAGCTCTCCCGGCCTGATGCCACCGTGCGCTGGCTCCGGGACGGCCAGGAGGTGCAGCCGGGTGAGCGGGTGCAGGTCGAAGCCCGTGGGGTGCTGCAGCAGCTCACCATCTGTGGGGCGCAGCCCGGTGACTCAGGGTGCTACGTCTGCGACGCTGCTAGCGACCGCATGGTGATAAGCGTGGAGGTGTCAGGTGAGCTGGCAGGAGCTTGGTGCCCTGGGGACCCCCAGCACAGTGGGATCATGCCACAGCCCTGGGTGAGGGGAGGGGACGCCTCTGTGACCCCACTGATAGCAGAGGCCAGGGCAGCAGTGTGGCAGGGGAGGGTAGAAGCCCTGTCCCCAACCCCACAGGAGCCGTTGGTCAGAAAGGGACACGTCAGGGTCGTGGCGAGACGCATCCCTCCCGCCTCCCCCAGCCAGGGGCTGGTTAAATTTAGCCTTGGCTGGGTCCCAGGCGCCGCTCCTCCTGCTTCGGCTGCCAAGGGCTGAGCTCAGCCCGGACCCTTATCGGCTGGGGATGGAGAGCTGGGCAGGATGGGAGAGGACCTGGCACAGGCAGGTGTCCTGGCTCCCCAGCAAGGTGCTGGGGACGGGGGGAACACTGAAATTAACAGCCCCAATGTGGCAGCTGAGCTGCCTGTGCAGGGAGGGATGCAGGAGTGATGGGCTTTGCCGCCATCCCTGCCTGGGGCTCCTTCCTTGAGGAGACCCTGGGCTGCCAGACTCCACCAGCCTGCACAGCTATCCCACCGGGACCCCCGTCTGGTCCCACCATCACCCCCAGCCAGCCCCACAGCAACCCCCAGCCACCCACAGCATCCCACAGCTGGATGCACCCATCAGCCCCCCACCCCTCCTGCCCCATGATGACACACTGTGGGCATTGCCACCTCTCCACTCCCAGCGGTCCCATTCCTGTGCTGCCCCACACTGCGGGAACACCCCTGAGCCCTGCCTTGTCCCCTGCACCCCCCAGCCCAGCCCGTGCGTGTTGTCAACAAGGAGGAGGCGCAGAGCCCACTGGAGGTGCTGGAAGGGGACAGTGTGACACTGGTGGCCCGGCTGTCCCCGGAGACAGCAACAGTGCAGTGGCAGAAGGACGGACAGACACTGCGCTCGGGCGGGCGGCTGCTGGTGTGCAGCGAGGGTGCTGCACGCAGCCTCACCATCAAGCAAGTGGAGCTGGATGACAGTGGCATCTTCCTCTGCGATGCCGGTGATGATGAGGTGCATTTCACGCTGCACGTGAAAGGTGAGCCTGGAGGTGTCCCTCACCCATGCCAGGGGGCAGGAGCAGTCCCCTGCCCCGCACCGGGATGCTTCGTGCCCCCATCCCATGCCAGTGCCACCGGCGGGGGCATGGCTAAGCCCAGTGCTCCCCCGGCACAGAGGCACCCGTGCTGTTCGTGAACAAGCGGGAGCAGCAGGAGAAGCTGCTGGTGCTGGAGGGCGGCAGTGCCGTGCTCTCCGCTGTCGCCTCCACGGAGCGAGCCGATGTCACCTGGCTGGGCCCACGGCAGGCGGCGGTGACCGGTGAGCGCTGCGAGCTGCGGCGGGACGGCCGCGTGCACAGCCTCGTCCTTCACAACGTGGCCAAGGAGGACGCCGGCGTCTACACTTGCCTCTCCCCCCACGACCAGATGCAGTTCGACGTGAGCGTCCGAGGTGGGTGACAGGAGGGCAGTGGGGGCACGCGGGGACCCCCCCGTGGCAGCGACAAGTGCCGACACAGGGGGTTTGGCTGTGCAGAGCTGCAAGTGAAGTTCCTGCGTGGGCTGTCGGACGTGCGTGCACGGCAGGGCGAGCGGGTGGTGCTGTGGTGCGAGCTCTGCAAGGCGCGGGGTGATGTGGTGTGGCGGAAGGATGGGCGGGCGCTGGCGCCTGGCCCCCGCCGGCAGATGATGGCGGAGGGGCGAGAGCGCTCACTGGTGCTGAGCCGTGTGGAGCCCAAGGACGCCGGCGAGTACTGCTGCGAGTCCAATGACGACCGGACGCTGGCGACGCTGACAGTGCAGGGTGAGCTGTGCCCGAGGCTTGGCTGCCACCCTGGGGACCCCTGTGCCACGGGGGGTGGTGGGGAAGCTGGGCATGGTGATGGCAGCAGGGTGTGGGGATGCTCAGTGGCTCTGCAGGACGCGGGGGTCCCCGATGCTGTGCCCTGACACCCTGGCTGTAGTCCCCAGGGTGGTGGAGATCATCACAGAGCTTCAGAGCCTGACAGTGCTGGAGGGGGACGATGCCACCTTCAAGTGCCTGGTGTCCCCCGAGGACGTGGCTGTGACCTGGCAGCTGAACGGCCAACCCGTGGTCCCCGGCGAGCGGCTGCTGGTGACGAGGAGCGGACTGTGCCACAGCCTCACCCTCCGGCAGTGCCAGCCAGGGGATGCGGCCACCGTGACGGCCAACGCCGAGGGGCTGGTGAGCAGGGCCCGGCTGAGCGTGCAAGGTGAGGGGGAAGGAGCCGGCTGGGGCACAGCCCAGGGCACAGCCCCAGGGCCAGACGCTGACCCGGCGCATGGGCCGTGCAGAGGCGCAGGTGCTGTTTGTGCGGAAGCTGCAGGACGTGGTGGCAGAGGAGCAGGGGGACGCGTGCCTGGAGGTGGAGGTGAGCCATGAGGCCGCCGAGGTGCAGTGGCTGAAGCAGGGCGTCCTCCTCCAGCCGGGCAGCAAGTACCAGATGCAGGAGTCAGGGTGCTGGCGCACCCTCACCATTCGCTGCCTCGACCCTGCCGACCGCGGCACCTACCGCTGCGAGAGCCTGCACGACCGCACGCAGGCCAGGCTCTGCGTGGAGCGTGAGTACTGCGCTGGGGACAGGGACGGGGATGGAGACAGGGACGGGAATGGGGAGAGCACCAGCCTGCTGCAAGGATGCTGCAGGCTGGAGGAGGCAGCGTGGGCAGAGCTGGTATTTGGCTGAAAGGGGTGATCAAGCAGGGAGGTGAGCGTGGGGGTCAGGCATGGGCAGGGGTGCGCGCCTGGTGAGAAGGGCTGGATTTAGGGGATCAGTCCAGCAAGCACAGACTGGGCAGCCTGGGTTTCTGTCCGCTCATGGACACGGGTCCCTTGCAGCCCAGAAGGTGTCGATCCGGACACCGCTGGCAGACGTGGAGACCTTTGAGAAGGAGACGGCCACCTTCCACCTAGAGCTGTCTCACCCTGGCGTGCCCGGGGTCTGGACGCGGGATGGCATCCGGGTGAAGCCCAGCGGCATGTGCCAGATCAGTGCCACAGGCTGCAGGCACAGCCTGACGCTGGAGGGGCTGGCGCTGGAGGACTCGGGCACCATCACCTTCACCGCTGACACGCTGCGCTGCAGTGCCCGCCTGCTTGTGAGGGGTACGGTCACTGGGCCAGGCTCGGAGGGGGGGGGAGGGGTGCGTGGCACCGGTGCTGCCCGTCCTGCAGCTGTTCAGTCCCAGGGGAGATGCCAGGGCTGAGCTGGGCCACTCCGGGCACATGTTGGCAGATGTCCCCCTGTCCCCAGGGAGGAGAAGTGAGCTCAGCAGTGGGGACACCCTGGCCAGGGTCTGGGTCTGGAGCCAGCTGGGACACCAGTGATGAGTGCTTGCCCATGGTGGTGCCCCAGGAAGTGCCACTCTCACCCCATGCTGAGGTGCCCTGGGCACAGCTCCCCATCACCACAGTCCCAAGCCCATGTCTTTCCCCTACCAAACCTTCCTGCCCTGTGTCCTCTCCCCTCAGAGCCTCCAGTTACGTTAGTGAGGGTCCCACGGGACCTGGGGGTCCCAGAGACGGGGGTCGCTATCTTCGAGTGCGAGCTGTCTCGCCCCAGTGCGGAGGTGAAGTGGTTCAAGGTGAGGGTTTGCCCTGCTCCCCTCCAGCAGCACCCAGCTACGTCCTCCTCCCTGCTTTGCCCTCTGGCCGCTGCCCTCCCTGCCAGGGCTGCTGGCAGGGGAGGGAAAGGCAAAGCAGCGGGGTGCTGCCTGCTTGCACCCCTGAGTGCGCTCCCCGGGCAGGACGGGCAGGAGCTGCAGCCGGGGCCCAACTGCCGCATCTACTCGGCGGGTCGGCGCCGCGTCCTGCAGCTGAGCCGCTGCGAGCTGGCCGACGCCGGCACCTACACCTGCGACGCGGGCGACTGCCGGGCCTCTGCCACGCTGCACGTCCAGGGTACGGCTGCCCCCCTCCCGGGGGTATGCGCACCCCCAAACCCTGCGCCACCCGCTCCCCCTCGCCCTTGGCCACCCTGGCACCCTGCCCCTCGCCCGCAGAGCGCCAGGTCTGCATTGTGCAGGACCTGCAGGACGCCCAGGTGCGGGAGGGCGACAACGCCGTCTTCACCTGCGAGGCGTCGCACGGGGACGTGAAGGGCGAGTGGTTCCGAGATGGGGAGAAAATCAAGGTCTCCAGCACAGTGAAGATACGGCAAGAAGGTGGGGCTGAGGGTGATCCCGCACCCAGTTTGGGGGTGGGAGGGGGCGAATTCAAGCAAGGGGAGTTTGTGTGGGCAAGGGGAATGTGTGCCTCCTGCCTGCCGTGGGTGCCCGTCACCGACCCTTTGAGCCAGCCTCCTCCTCCCCAGGGACCCGGCATTTCCTGCTGCTCTGTGCCGTGCGTCCAGAGGATGCGGGACTCATCCGCTTCGCGGCCGGGATGGTCGTCTCGGAGGCCAGCCTGCGGGTGGAAGGTACTGGAGTGGGGTGTGAGGGCTGGCCAGGCTCCGGCACCAGCGCTGGGGTGCACCAGGGTTGGCTCGTGGGGTCCCCAGGGGAGTCTGCTCGCCCCCCGATGCTGACGGCTCCCCCCCACCCGCCAGCGCTGCCCATCCGGATCGTGAAGCCGCTGCGGGACAAGACAGTGCTGGCACGGCACAAGGCGACGCTGGAGTGCACCGTGTCCCACGCCCGGGGCCGGGTGCGCTGGCTCCGCGGGGACACCGAGATCTTCGCTGGTGACAAGTATGAGATCTGCAACCTGGACTGCTACCGCACGCTCATCATCCACCGCGTGGGCCCAGAGGACGAGGACTCGTACACCTGCGATGCCTTCGACGACCGCTCCACTGCCCGGCTCCTCGTGGAGGGTGAGGAGGCACCCGGGGGGGCACCACCGGGGGCTGGTGGTGCCACCGTGCCTCACACCAGAGGGACATCGGGGGCCCCGTCCCCATGCCCCACTGCTTGCAAGGGTCTGAGCGCTGGGGTGGGGAGAGCAGGCTGGATATGGGACCAGGGGTCTGTGCCCCCCTTGGCTGGGACCCCCCTTTTGGGTGCCCCGCCAGCTCCGGGGATGCTGCAGCTCTCCCTGACTCCCACTGTCCCTGCAGGGAGCTAGGAGCCAGGATGCGGTGCTCAGGGGCTGCACGCAGATGGACAGACGCCGCTGCTGGGAGATGGGGTCACGCTTCCCCCAGGATGTACGGACACACAGACACTACCCCCAGCCTGCTCTGGCCTCAGGGCTCTGCATTAAACAGTGTTTTTTTCTGACATGGCTTCTTCCACCCCAGCGAGCCGGGGTCCCGTTAGGAGAAGGCATCGCTCTGCGCCCCACCCAGCATCCCCAGGGAGCCCGGCCCTCGGGGTCCCCCCACGCCTCTGCCCCCCAGCACAGCCCCTGGCCCCACACGCCGGGCTCCGAAAGGCTCTTTACTGTGCGGCCATGGCCTCAGCAGTGTTTGGCACATTTACAAAAGAGACTGAAAAGGGGGACAGGGTCGCGGCGCTGCGGGGACAGGGTCGCCTGGCAGAAACATGCAGTTCCCGGGACAGCGGGGCTGGCCGGGCTGGGCTGGGGGGGGGGGTCCCCAAGCAGGGGGGCACCCCGGTCCAGTTTTGCCACCACCCTGCCTGCCTGGCCGTGAGGAAGTCCTGGCTCACTCCGTAATAAATTAATACAAATCACAGCAAGAGAAATATATACAAGGCGGGAGCCTCTGCCTGCAGCGGTGCTCTGGGCAGGGGCTCCTGCCCTGCCCTGCCCCGGCCGGAGGCTCAGCCTGACCCCAGGGCCCCCCCTGGCCACTACAAAATCCAGTCGCCAGCAAAACAGCGATGGCCTCTGACGCCACGGGGGTCCCCGTGTCCCTGAAGCAGCCCAGCCTCTGCCCAAAGGCTGGATCCAATGTCCTGTCTCCTGTCAAAACGTTTTGAGGGGATGCACGTGGCATCACCCCAGGGCAGCATCCTCATGGGACTCGCCTGGCCCTGGCAGCCTCTGCCGCAGGACTATCCCAGTCCAGCTCGGGAAAAGGGGGGAGGCGAGCCGCTCTGGGGGGCAGGGAAGGTGTCTAGGGCAGGGGACCTTCTGAGGAGGCAGGTTTTGGGAAGCGCTGCCTGGGAGCTGCTCTCAGGGCCAGGGTAGGACAGGGCGCACATGCTCAGAGGAGTCCCTGGAGGGGGGCAAGGGCTGGGGGACCTGCTCTTTGAAGAAGGGATGTGGGGCACAGGCACTTGGGGAGTTGCTGGGGGGGTGCGATGGGGTGGGGGCAGGCGTGGGGAGCTGCTCTCGGGGAAGGGGAGGCTCAAACAAGGGGACGGAGATGTTGGGATGCAGGATGCGCGTGCCCAAGCCATGGGGAAACACGCAGCAGCGAGGGCTCAGGGACCCCCCACCCCAGCAGAGTCGCTCGCGCCACACGTCCATGGGTGCTGGTGTCCCCGGTCCTTGGGCTGAGTCCCTGCCGGAGGGTTCCCCCAGCACCTCCAGGCCCCGTGGGCAGCCGGGGCTCACCCAGCCAAGTCCCACGCATCCCCGGGAAGGGTGTCCATCCACAGCCCCGAGGCACACGTGGCTGCCCAGAGCCGAGGGCACAGCCCCGCCTGTCCCAGGGGGTCTGTCGGAGCAGGCTGGGGTGCTGGTGTCGCTTGAGGTCACTGGGTTGGCTTATACCCGCACGGCGGGGCCGGAGCCCGTGGTGAGGGGCACGGTGGAGCTGCAGTCATAGTCCAGGTCCACCACGGCATGGGAGCTGGCAATGAGACTGTTCAGGGATGGCCCCGTCTGCCGCTCTCGGAAACTCTGGATGTAGCTCTGCTTGAGAGAGGGGGGACAGAAAGTGAGGGGGGCTCTGCTCCTGGCCCACTCCATTCCACCCCACTCCACCCTAAGCTCTGTGGCAGCCCCTCAGAACCTGCCCTGTGCAATCCCACCCACCTACCCCAGCACTCGGACCCCCCAGGGGCTGGCCGCAGCAGGGTGCACAGCCCCGTCCCTTCCCTGGGCACATGCTTCGCACCTTGCCCACCGCCTGTTCCTACTGCAGCCGCAGCACTTTTGGCTACCGGTTTACATTTGCTTGCAAAGGCTGAAGCGCTCCATGGTGGGCACGTCCCAGCTCAGCGCCTCCTGAGCTGCCTGGTCCCTGGGATGCCCTGGCCTTTTCCCTTGAGGAGCTCGGATGCCAGCTGGCACCCGGGCACCTCTCCCCTCTCTGCGCCCCAGCCCACCCACATGGAGAAGGAAGGGCCGTGGAGGCCGGGGGAGATCTCTACCCTGGGCGCGGGACTCACGGGGGAGAGCACGTCCCCATCGAAGCGGCGCACAGGGTTGGGCTTGCGGCGGTAGGCGGGCTCGGGCGGGTGGGCTTTGTGCTGGTGGGGCGGCGGGTGGTGGGGTCTCCGCTTCTTCTTCTTCTCCTTTCGGTCCTCCCGCTGCTTGATGCGCATCAGCTGCACGCGGCGCTGCTGCCGGCTGATGATCACTGCAGGGCAGAGAGGTCCATGAGCACCAAGGAGCACCCCAAAACCACCCCCCCTGCATGCAAGCCAGCCCCAGCTTTGCACACCCAGGCCTCCCCTTGCCGTGCCACGTCCCTGCAGAGCCCCAAACTGTGCATGCAAACCAGGTGCTGGGAATCCCCACCCCAGCCCCCCAGCTCCTGCACCCACCCCACGCCACGTCCATCTCCTCCAGCCTCCACGCACCTTCGGTGTGGGAGTAGCCCTCGGCCGTGACCTTCCACTGGACCAGGACGCCCAGGGTGGTGAGGAGCGGCCAGACGCCCAGGATGACCCAGCTGTACCAGCACACAGGGCGAGCGGGGGCCACCTTGATGCGCTCATAAATGTACTGTACCAGGAGGAAGAGCTCGATGAAGTAGTCGACGGTGACAGTCATGATGGCGCTGCCAAAGACGGCGGTGGAGAGGGTGGTGAAGAAGCGCTGCCACTGCAGGGTGAGGACAGCGAAGAGCATCCCCACACCCAGGAGCAGTGCGATGGGGATCCACACCGTTGGCGGGTGGTAGAACTGCTCCATCACCACCAGCGTGGCCACCGCCAGCAGCAGCCCCAGGAGCAGCCCCACCATGAAGAGGCCGACGCTGCGCACCAGCATGGTGACCAGCCCGCACAGGACCCCGATGCCCAGGCCGATGCCCACTGACGCCTCCACACTCAGCTGCGTGTCCAGCACCCGCTCCTTGTAGCACAGCATGAAGATGATGATGGAGCCAAACATCAGCCCTGTCAGGAACATGACGGCCTTGAAGCAGCGGTAGCCTGTGGAGAGACCACCACAGTCAGGGGGTGGATGGCCAGCACCCCCCCGGCTCCCTGCTGCCCTTCTCCCCACTTGCCCCACCAGCCACCGGGCTGGCCTCACTCACCGAAGAAGCAGTAGATGATGCCGAAGAGGCAGCACATGGCACACACCACCGAGGGCACCACCTGGTAGCGACGCTCGATTTCCTGCTGGCAGCTGTGCCCCCACTCCTGGCCTGGCTCATGCGGCAGCAGCTTGAACCGCAGGGTCTGCACGGTTGCAGTCATGGCTCTGGGGACTCCCGGGAGAGGCATCAAAGTCTCCACTCCTGCCCCATGGCTCGCCGGCAAAGCTGCGCCCCGGCACCCGCCCCAGATGCTGAGAGAGAGAGAAGGGGGATGGAGGCACCGCCGGCACATGCCCGACTGCAATGCCCACCACTCGGCACCCAGCCGCCAAAAAACCCGCTCCGGCCCCTCGCTACCCAGGTGGGAAGGAAGGGAATGGGGGAACAGCCTCATCTGCGCGGGCTGGGGGGGCACAGACCGTCACCCAGAGGGTGGCTGTGCTGTCCCCGGGGAGCCTGTCTTCACCCCCGGGGAGCTTCGCTGCCGGGACGCGGTGCTTTGTAATTTGTCTGCGGCTTCCATTTCCTGCCCCTGGCTCGCCGGCGCCCTTTCCCTGCCCGATTAAAGGGAGACTTCCACTACCTGGTATTTTCTGCCTGTGAAGTAATTATGCTCAGTAATTAAGTCACCCCTCAGTCTTCTATTTTTATAGGCTAAACAGATTGAGCTCTTAAAGCTTGTACTCCAAGGCATTTTCTCCAATCCTCTAATCATATTTCTGGCTATTTTTCATCCCTGCTCCAGCTCCTAGCGTCCTTGTAAAAACAAAGCAGGCCCCCGTGCTGGATCCAGCCCTCCCACGCCGACCCACGGGGCCGGAGGGGGACCGGCCCTGGCTGGCGCTGCCCCTTACCCAAGGGCTCACCCGTAACGCCGTGGCCGTGCCGGGATGCTGAGCAGGCGGCCGCTGGGCCCCCCGCAGTGCCTACGCAGACGGAGGGGTCATAATCCCCCGCAAAGACTGATCCAGCTCCAGCTTAAACCTAATTACAGCAGCCGTCTGCCCACTCCCACCCGGAGCCAGTTCCAGCATCCCTTTGCTCCCTTGGCGCCTTTCCGGGCTCGGTTGGTTTAGGATGGGTTTATTGTCACCGGTTGTCCCCGCGCCAGCGCCAGGCTTTCCAAGTGCCACGTTAAAGCAGTCAGCTCAGGACGACTCAAAAAACCAGAGCACCGGGAAGGGGCAGGGAAGAGGGCAGAGGCTGCAGCCACGTCTCTCCATTGCCCAGCACCTTGCTGCTGCCCGGGCCGGGCCCCACCGGCACCCTCTCCCCCCGCCGCCGGCCTCCTTCCCTCCCTCCGGCTGGGGAAGGCAACAGCAGCCAGGGCAAATCCCCCGGGGAAGCCGAGCGTGGTGCCTAATCCCGGGGAAGCGGGCGGGCAGGGAGCGGGCAGCCGAGCGCTGGGCCCCTGCCCGAGCCCCGAGGGATGCTAAGCAGGATTGGACTTCAACCGCGGAGCCCGGGAGCGAGGCGCCGGCCCTGGCTGCCCCGGCGGGGACGGGCGATGCTGTCCGGGGTGAAAGCAGGGTTCTGCCGGCCGGCTGTGCCCGGGGGGCCGGGGATGGGGCATGGCACGGCCG